CTGCATGGCCTGTTCGACCAAGTGCAGTTTGAAATGAAGTTCCCTCGCCTCCCGGGTCCATTAGATGAACAATCTGCAGATCGGACACCGCTCCTTGATGTGGGCTTTGCCTAGACACAGCAAGTACCACGTATAGGGATTGTTGTTGGGGATCGCTCAACGGATAGTAAAAAGAAACTGAGGCGGGTTGGGGCAGGGCCACCTCATATAGCCAGGGGAGAGGTGTGGCCACGAGGTGCACGTGCCACCCCCATATGAGTACTGCTAGGCCAAATTCTCCAGCTCCGATGCGCTGGGCACATGCACACCGAAGTGGAATACATGGCTGCCTCTACTCAAAGAAGAACCAAAACATCTAATAATGTAGTCTGATGCCTCTAGTATATAAGAGGGTAAGCGTTTTTTTCCCCAACTTCACAACTACTTCCACCCTCTAGTCATCTGGACTATAAAGTATATTAATAATTGAAAGTGACAAAAGATCATTAATGCCTACAGTTAAACATCATCAAATGTTTGGCTAACTGCCATTGGCCAGTTGCTTTTTTTTTTCTCTGTGTAACAAATAGGGAGCTGCAAAAGTCAGCAAATGTTGCTTTTTTCCCCCCTGAAGGGTAAAAAGGGGCCTCACACACTCTGTGATCAGCCCCACGGAAGATTCAGAGCGATTGCTACCTTTGTTGAAAGATTGGATGACACACCTTTACATAAACAAACCATATTCTTCATCTTACTGAAGAATTATTTCTTCTTCTTGAAGTCTGGGACTAAGTTACAAGTACTAAAAAAAAAAAAAAAAAATTTACTCTTGTAAATAACTTTTTGCTCTCAGACAAAAAATATATTCTTGTTTTGTTGCTTACTGCTTCAAAATTCATGCCAACTCAGATAATCCATAGGCAATTCCTGCAAGCCAATTTTAAAATTTGAGTCAATTGGTTTCTTTGCTCATAATTTAATTGTACACATTTATTTCTTTGGAATCTGAAAACCACTAAAAGAATGGAGAAATGGATAGTATTATGGAGAACCTGGGAAATTTCTGTATTAATGTTATGTGTAATTCAGTTACCACACTCACTTATGTCTTGCTATCCACTGCGTATGAGTGGTTAATTTCTTTCCAGAAACAGAGGAACAAGCGATGAATTGACTGCATGTTGGTCACACAGACATATCAAGTTTGGTGTGAATGGACTATCCAGAACTGTCTGACACGTGAATGGAGATACCCTGGAGACACAATGGAGACCAATGACCAGAATATTAATTTTTAATGACTCCAGCCAAGGGGACTTTTTGGATGTGGATGGGCAAATTACCTGTTTGAACACAAACCCTCCCCTACCTGAATACATGGGGAGGGCAGTACATGTGAAAACAGCATGGCTGGAACTTGGGACAAAGGACTGAGGTGTTAGGAGAGGGGGATAGGAATCCTGCTCTCTTAGGGGATGACACAATTCAATCCAGAATGGTTGGGCAAGGCCAGGGAAGCTGGGTGCAAGGCAAGTCCTGCCTACTTAAACAAGGAAAAGCTGGCAAGTTAGGCAAGACACATTTGTTCAGTCTTTGCTTTATCATTTTAACCCTAATAGTGTGTGTGACAGATATTGCAACCCCATGCAATATCTTTGGGGACCATACAGTATTAAGTTTACAAATGGTTTATATATTACAGTGGGCCTGGGACTTTATGCAACTCTGGGCGGGTTTGTGGGATGGTTGCCACAACTCCTCCAAGAACCAAAAACTGTGGGTGGGGTGATTAAGGTTGTAAGTTGTAAACACCTCCAGAGAGGTAGCTACACCCCAGAGAGGCTTAAATATGCTGGTTCAAACTAGGTTATTCAGAGACCAACAGACAAAGAAAGGGCTTTTGATATAAAAAGGGTAGGTTTAAACTTTAAACTGACTCAGGACCTTATTTCTGATCCAGAGAACAGAGGACCTTCTAGCCTTGCGGAAGGGTTGGAATGGCTATGGCCTGCTAAGACCCCAGTAGATGATGGATGTCTCCAGGTATGTTTAGTGTGCGTTTAAATCTGTTTATTGTTTTTATGATGTTTTGTCTGTAATGCTTTGACCTTAAGAATAAATGAGCTTATCTAGAAGGAGCTGCGTGATTACTTGTAACTGCCGGCAATACACTGTTCATAGCCCTAGAAGAGAAAGCAATGCACAGATACTGGCTGTTATCTCCAGCAAGCCAGTCTCCCTGTCACAGTGTAAGGCAGGGACCTGTGCAGCCTAAAAACCCTGGGTCAGAAAGGAATGGGACAAGGGTTGCTGCCTAGAGACAGGTGATGCTGGAGACCTGAGACCTGACTGGGGCACTCCTGGAGTGGACTGTGGGGGATACAGGTGCAATTAAACTGAAACTGGGTCACTATGTTCCAGTTGACTAACAAATAAAGTCTTATTTTGAAAAGGCTGTCCTTTGTCTCTGAAAACATCTGCTGGTTGCGGAGCTTCTAAGAGGGTAAATCTCAACGGTAGTCTAAGCTCATCAGGACCTGCTGAAGGAGCCACAGTGAGAAAGAGCCACAGACCCAGTCTGGGTATAACATAGCCAAGAGGATCCCCTTTAGCAAAGTGGAGGCCCAGGGTTGTCATTAAGAAAGGTACCCCAGAAAGACAGTATATAGGATGGAGGCATAGCACACCCTATGGATCTAGGAAACTACTCAGACGGAACACGGAGGGATAGGCTTCTTGAAGAGGTGGAGGATACTGTGAGGCAACTTATGAAGACCTGATGTTACTAATAAGGTTAGGCTTTTGCGCAGGTGACAATGAACTTCTGTTTTTCACTGTTTCTGCAACAACACACCTTGAGGTCATCCACATCAAGTGGTTCCCAAAGTTATTTACAGCTTTGGCACAGCATAGTGTAGGCATCCAAGAAAAAAGATATTACACAACTTCATGTTAAAAAAAAAATCACATAAAATAATACTAATAGCAACAATAATAATAATGGGGTGAGGAAGCCAACAGGAAAAACAGCAAGACAGAAAAATGAGACAGGGAAGGTGCCAATTTGGATGCCTAAAACTGCACATCTGAAACAGTTTATAGAAGTTCCACATTCTCAGTAAATGTTGTAATCCAGGATGCTTATGCCACACAACCTTGCAAATTTGAATAAGCAATAGCTTGCAATAAATTCAGAACATGCTCATTTCCAAAAATAAGATGCTTTCCCAGAGAAACAAGCAACAATCTTCCAAGAAGATTTAGCATCCTGTGGTGCATGGCTGAGAAGTCTGTAACTAGCTGCCAAATTGGTCATACATATGAACAGAAAGAAAAGCCCTTATATTTAAATAATAGTAAAAGGGAAGTCATTCACATTATATTTATTTGCAAAATTAACATTTTTTCTATCTGATTTAAACAAATGCTTCAGATTTTATTATCTATATTAAAAAATAGCATATAGTTGCACCCTACAGCTTACCATCAGCAACTCTTTAAGAACTAACCAATGTATGGAGACAAAACCAGGTTTTTAGTTTTACTAATTAACCCTGTAGAGCCCATACAGCTAAGACTAAGGGTATGTTTAGATTGCCACAAACAAAGAAACAAAAACCCTTGGGTTAGCTACCTGCATTAGCTAATTCAGGTTAAAATCATAGTGAAGACATGCAACTCAGCTTTTAACTTTGGTTAGTAGCTTGAGTTAAAGCTTATAGGAGAGCCTGGGGCTGAATTCAAGCTGCTAACCCTAGTTAAAAGCTGAATTGCTACATCTTCACTCCTATTTTAACCCAAGTTTGCTAAAGTGGGTTAGCTAACCCAAGTTAGGAACATACTTTTTTTTCCAGTATAGACATACCCCAAGTGAGTGAAAATCCTATTCTATTTCATGCATCTGCAACAGAATGATTTAGAGTACTGCTGCAACTGCAATGAAGGAACAGGTCTCTCTGAAGAAATAACTTGGCTCACAGAGCCCTTTATTAGTAGGTATGGATTATTACTAGTCATGATGTACAAGAAGGAAACAGCCCAGTTTGCTTCTCAGATCCCAGGCTGAGCTTACCCAACTGCCAATTAGGAAGATCATCTTTTGATGGGTAAGATGATACAGGGAATTACCAATAGCATTTTACAGAATTTCTTTTCAGGATACAATAGCACTCTAAATGCAGTGACTGATGAGAAAGGTCTTGAAATAATTATTCTGCAACATCATCTGTTTTTCAAACTTCAGAAACTGAATCAGTTTTTTAAGTTGTTTGAGGGAGGGAAAGAAAATAGACCAGTAACAATGAAATTATCAGATGAGAAGTTCACTGCCAGCTCAATTTTTTACTTTTTTAAATCATCTTTTTTGTTAACATGTGACAAAACTCAATATTAAGTTTGGTAGTTCTTTTTTAAATTAAAATTTCAATTACTCCTTATTCGTTTCCTATTTCAGGACTCTCGTACCAACTTTTTATCTGAAGCAAATTAAAGAAGATTAGTCATAAAAGCCTAATACTAACTTGCAATTACAGAGCACCTTTTGTTAGAGGATCTCAAAAACACATTACAATGATTAAGTAATTAAGTATAATTTCGTATGGTTAGGTATAATTGTCCCCCTTTTACAAATTGGTAAACTGAGGCACAGAGCGATTAAATGACTTGGCCAAAGTTAAGCAGTGAATGAGTGACAGCATTAGAACCCAAGAAGTCCTAAGAGTTTGAACACCAAGATCCCACTACTTCTCTCAAACTGGGATTATAGTGAGAAAAGAAAAGGTAAGCAGCGTGCCACTGTTAGAAGATTCCATTACCGGTATACTAAGTTATACTCTCCATATCACTGCAACATTGATGCATAGTTATAGCTAATTATCCTGTCACTAAGTCCCCTTATAAAAGTGCTAAAAGGAACAAGTGTCTTGACCATCTACACATGGGAAAGTGATTAACCACTTCACTTCCACTGCCAACAACCCAAGAAACAAGCAAGTTTTATCTTTTACAAAAATACAACTTACTCTAGAACAGAATGAGTTGCTGCCTGTGGATGGTAGCGATACTGGAGGAGGCACTGGTCAACTCGAAAGACTCCACCACCCTTTCGGATATGTTCATAAAAGAACAGCAAGTCTTCTGGAACACCCTGTAGAGAGAGAGCTCATTCAATACAAAAGCCGCTGGCATTCCTTATTAAAATATTACAAGTGACAGAGTGCATATTTCGTTGTTTTGCCAAATAGATAGTTTTAAAATTTGTCTCCTAAATCTCTTTTTGTGTAGACCCAAAAGTTGTCTAATGGGTCTTTAAAGAAATTTACCCAAATATAAGATAATGCTATTTGAAAACCAGTCAACACTGCTTGAAACTGAAGCACTGTGAGCCAATGCTGACTATGGGAACAAGAATGGCAAAAGAAAGGTCTTTTCATTTTGACCAGGCTTGTAAAGCTTTATGCATGATAGCCCCAAAAGAGGCAAACCTAACTGCTTAAAAGTTCATGAAACCTAAAACGTTAAGTAATCAAATAACTTATTTAATGGAATCTGTGACTTTATAATAGCGTTATTTACAAAGTTACAGTTCTTTCGTTGGCTGCCATTCAAACTTTCATATTGGTCCCCATTAGGGACAGGTTAACCAGGTCCAATAAAATGAGAACCAAACCTTTACTCAAACCTTAGACTGATTTAAGGTTTGAAAAAGTTCAGTGTTGTTTTCTTTCCTTTTAATTTTCATGAACTAGTCTCTGCTTCTGACTAGGATTAGAAGCAGCAGTGTTGAAGCAATGCAAGAAAAGTTGTTTTCCTAGAATTCCTGAACCAACACCATCTAAGAAGTATCAGAAGTCTTATGAATAAGACTATGATTATGTCACAGAAGTCATGGAATCCGTGACTTTCATTGACCTCCACGACATTTTCTGCCCCCGGGCTGGAGCTCCCAGCCAGCTTCTCCTTCCCCGCAGCTCCTAGCCCCCGCACTGGTGGGGGCACCCCACAGCTGTCCAGCCGGGGATGAAGAAGACTCCCTGCAGCTGGCGGTGGGGGAACCCCCCGCAGCTGACCAGCTGTGGTGGGCAGCTGGGGGACCCTGCAGCTCCCAGCCGTGGTGGCTGGCGGGGGACTCCCATGAGTGCCCAGCTGCCCCAGGGTCGAGGGTACCTTGCAGCAGCCCAGCCCCGCAGGCAGGATGACCCCGCAGCTTCCACTCCCCACAATGACGGGGGACCCCAGAGCTCCCAGTGACCGCAACGGTGGGGGATCCAGGAGCCCCAGTAGCAGTGGGTGCTGAACCCACCCCCCCATTTTGTCAGGGATATTTTTAGTGAAAGTCAGGGACGGGTCACGGGCTGCCATGAATTTTTGGTTATTGTCCATGACCTGTCCATGAGTTTTACTAAAAATGTCCATGACAAAAACTTTGCTTTACTTATGAATAGCTGCAATATTTCTAACCTGCTTTGTAGAGCAATGAATTTGGGATAAGCAGTCCAACCATACTCCAGTGATTGAATTAGAACCTCAAACATGACCAATGAGACAACCTTGAATCAGACTTAAAAAAAGTAAATGCCTTAGACAAAGTGTAAAAGGGGCAGTGATATGGCCAGTGGTACTGTATTACATGTCAGCCATCCCTTGGATTATAAAACCACCTTGAATAGCATGGCCCTATTCTATATGCCATTATAAAGGATGGGAAGAAGAGTATGTGTTTGTACTTAGCAATGGTGCAACCATTTGAAAAAATTAAAGTAAAACATGGTTTAAAATATATAATTGTCACACACATTTTCAAACACTGTTTTTCTCTCCTCCCACTCATTGTTTCTGAGAGATCATGTGACTACCATGCAAATAAACATATAATACAAAGAGTATTTATTCAGTATTTGAGTGTGGCACCTAATAAAAGCTGAAGAGGCAATATAACAATGACAAGCACAAAGAAGAGAAAGAAAAAAATTTACATTAACTATCTCAGGTGGTGACATTAGGTAGGCAGAAAGAGCCTAAAGCTTATGTATTTATTGCAGGTATTTTATTTCTACAGAAAAAATTATAAATACACTAACTAAATAAAATGATAAAAAATATTGTGGCTATTGCCATAGCTTGTGTGCACCTCAAAGCATTAAGAAAATACAATTAAAATAAAAAATTTCTACAACCTTGGACCCTACCCTTCACTCAAGTTCACATTATTGGTAGTATGTGGGGAAAGAGGTGTAAAGTTATGATTAGAGATGGAACTGTAGTGTCTGTTGTAGCAGAGAAGAGACAATTTGGTTGTAATGAGTAAAAAAGGGGTTCCTGGTGAAGGCTGCTGGACACAGACTCACTCTGTGGTCCTCAGCCATGGGTGGAACAGCTTACTGCAGTAGAGGCTTTCTAGCTCCCAAAGTGACTAACACAGTTTAATATGTTAATGTCACCACATTTAGAGTATCCCTAAAAACTGGCCTGGACTAAGCAGCCATGGAAGAACAGTATAGTACACTAAAGGATGACTCCAGAACACTCAATGCAACCCTCTTTGCATTCTGGGAGAGCTCAGAACTAGAACTACACCTCTACCCCAATATAACGCAACCCAATATAACATGAATTCGGATATAATGCAGTAAAGCAGCGCTCCGGGGGGGCAGGGCTGCGCACTCCGGCGGATCAAAGCAAGTTCGATATAACGCGGTTTCACCTATAACGCAGTAAGATTTTTTGGCTCCGGAGGACAGCGTTATATCGGGGTAGAGGTGTAGTTCTAAATTTTGCAACTCTATAATTGGTTGAGCTGGAACACTGAATCTGATCCCACTCCCAAACTCTGGGGAAGTGTGGATTCAAATCCAATTGCTGGGTGACAAAGGCCCATCTCTAATTGGCATGTTTATATTATGAGACACTTGTCCAGTTTTCTCATCCTAGTGCTCAGATGCCGGAGCAAGCTTTCACAGAGCTTTGTGCAGTTTGCAATTTACATGGATATCTAATGCTTCAGAGGTCACTAAAGGAATCTGGGTGAGGGTGCAGGAAGAGAAAGCAGCTGTTCCCATCAGAAAGAAAATAAAATACCATTTAGACTGAAATTCTTTGTTCCCCAAATCACACACTAAGTTGAGTTAGGCTGAGTGCATGGTTTTATTAAATATCAGTCTACTGCACTTGTCAAATTCTGGTTTGGAAATATCATTACACCACTTACAAGTACTGGTAAATCATTTTCATGTGGAGTCTCATTTTCATGCTTCAAATTGCTACAGCTGAAACATTTAGCAACATATTTCAGCATAAACTGATTAAAAACAGTTATTGTCAAAATAAAATGATCCCTCTAAAACTGGGATTTGATTCATGGACCCTATTTTCTATTTCTTCTGCTGAAAGGAGCATTTCAGAGCAATGTGCCCAGTTCCCAGGGGTGAGCAGATGCCTTGCATTGCTCAGCAGTGACCTCTCAGCTAACGAAGGAGCAGTACTGCCGAAGGAAATGCATACATTTTGCAAGGGATGGAAAGATATTGACTATGCCATGGGTCCTGCCGGGATAGGACTACTTAGGGCTCAGGGATACGTACGGGGCTTGCACTACGGCAGTTTCTTCCATTTTGAGATATTATCAGTTCCAGCTGTATTTCCCATTTTAATCACCAGACATCCATCTCACACTCGTACCACCTTTCAAAGTAGAAGAATCTGCAACCACTCTAGGGATATTTTTTAATGCTCTTTGAAACTGATGGCTAGATATAAGTACAGAATAACAAGATATAAAGTAATACAGCTAAAATGTATCTTGCAAATAATTTTCATGCTCCACAAAGACAGTTGAATAGCACAGTATCACAAGTCAGTGAAATATGTAACATCAACCCAGAAAATAAGCAAAAAAATAACTTCAGATGCTCTCTAGAATAGTTTGTTACTACTAACATTCCACCTGGACTTACACACACCATGGCCCTTTCTACTTCTACTAGGGTTTTGTTTTGTTATAATTCTACTACTGCTACTCAAAATGATCACCACATTTTTTTCAAAAATTGCTCAAGACTCCAGATCACTATAGAAAAGCCTTAAATTCTATAAAAAAAACCTAGTGCAGAATTCTCTCCTTTACCTCAGAAACTGCAACTGGAGGGCCCTGGCTAAGAGAGATATAATGCATTATCCTAGGATTTTCATTTCAATAGCATGCTTCACAAATTTCACTCATAATGGATCATCAGCAAGGAAACGTCACATGCTTTATAAAAGGTCTTCAGTGTATTTTTTTTTAATTACACAAAAGACAAAATAAAAACATTTTTTTCATGTATTAAATAAACCAACAACTAGTTGAAAAGGCAAACGAGGAGTACTTGTGGCACCCACAAGCACTCCTTGTTCTTTTTGCTGATACAGACTAACATGGCTACCACTCTGAAACTTGTCACCATGCTAGGTCAAAAGGGGTTTTCAAGTGACAGAATCATGCAGCTTGAAAGCTCTTCTCTTTCACCAACAGAACCTGGGCTAGTAAAATATATTAGCTTGCCCACTTTACCTCTATCCTGGTATTTAACATCAGGAAGAGCATTTTGGGGGGCAATTTTCCAACAGCAAATAGAAAATAAACCCTCTATAGCTAACAATCTAGACTTTTGCCGAATTTTTAACTACTCAAAATAAACCTAAACAAAAACAAACAGAATGTTGGCTGCAGAACTCATGGTACCTATAGCCTGGCTGAATAGCAGTTACTGTACTTTGTTTTTCTTGTGCAGTTGCTCAAAACAGATTATCCAAATTACTATTATTCCATACAAAACGAAAACTACATTAAAAAACCATTAAGGTTGCAAAGTGAGGCTCTCAAAAGTTAGGTAATGTCAAAATTACAGTAGAAACTTTAATTCTGCCTCTATGTGTATGCATTATGATACAATCTTTACTTACATAATCACAAGAGAGTTTTTTCTCAAAGGACCTCAGACTCATTAAATGAGGCATCTGTTCAATATTTCTTATTATTCTCATCATTTGCCGTATGACCCTATCTGTTAAGTTACTAGAACATAGGAATTGCCAGACTGAATCAGATCCGTGGTCCAAAGTCCAGTATCCTATCTCCAACAATGGCCAGCAGCAGAGGCTTCAGATAGT